AGATATAGGAAAAACACATAAGACAACAACTATGTACATACAGGAAGTGATCCTTCATAGTGTCATAATCAGTTAGCAGAATTGAACTCAGGTCTAAGAGGCATTACATAGTTGACCCATTTTTCCCAGTGAGAAGCAAACTGTTCCAGTTTATGATGTTATCTTATCCATGTTATAAATGTTCATTTTAATGTCCATCCACTTGTTTAAGGTCGGGCTCTCGAGTAATAGCCATTTTCTTGTGACAGTCATTTAAGGAGCCAAAAGCAATGCATTCATTAAAAATGTATCTCTTTTTACTTGGTTTTGAGGTATACAGCCATAAAATAGAGTCTTGCTTTCTTGGGGCATTTCACATTCAAATGTCTCGTAGGGCACTGTGTACCCCTCGCCAGAAATCTTCAATAACAGGACAATTCCAGAAACTATGGTAATGGTTTGCATTTTGATTCCCACAGTTTCATCCAGCAAATCGTAAGGTTGTTATAATAATGGGATTTCTAACAGGGTGTAATAAAATGCCTCATCAGGGTTTTCTAACCTAATTTTCCCCACTTATGTGAATTAGTACACTTCCACTCTAGGCCTCTAAGCTTGCCATATGTACCTTGACAGCATTTGATCCCATTCATTAAAGTGATGGTGGTTTATTGCTATTGGTAAAGTCTGAAGTAGATAAAACAGTCTGGGCAATGTATTCATTTTAACTGATTTATTTCTTGAACTCAGATTAGAATAGAGAATTAAGTTCCATCTTGTTATGTCTTCTTCAATTTTGTTTTGGACTGGTAGATAGTTAAATTCTGATAATTTTGCAAGACTTTTTGGTATGTTGATACTGAGACATTTGACTCTTCAAATTCAACACCCCAGGGACCATTATGGGGACGATTACAAATAACTAATACCAGTGATTTTTCGCTGGATGTACTGTTTGCTACATGCTAAATGGAGAAATTCACACATGTAAATAAGTAAGTGTGTATGCAGTAAATTATGCCAGCTACCCAAATGAAGAATCAGATAAAGCTAGCAAAAGTAAAAAAAAATAAAAATTATTCACGCAAAATTCTATTTTTTGTAAAACTGCAGGGAGCATATGAAAGTGACATAGATATATTCTGTTCACACGCTGTTTTGTGCAACTATTTCTTTCCATGAATGTCTACAATGGAGACAGTGAGTGTAACGTTATAGTGACACGCAGAGTCACATTAATGGGAAACTCACTAGGTTGATATACACCAGAATTATCCTTCAAAGTCTGAAAGAAGTCATTTAATGCCCTCAATGCAGGGGAAGCCTATAAGTATATATTAAAGCATTTTGGTTGTCTGAAACGCCACAGTTGAAGTCAAGACTAAGATATGAAAGACCAAGAACTCTGTTCTGCAACTGTAAAGAAGCTGCAGGAAGGAGAACGGTGCACCGT